CCTCACATTGTCCCCTCCTTAAACTCCCCAAATAATATACCTTGAAGCCCCCTCTCCTAACCATCCACCCCTCGAATAGATGGCGGTGCCTGCGTCGCCATGGTCGGCAAAGACTGTGTTGCCATTGCATGCGACCTCCGACTGGGTCTGCAAGCCCTCACCGTCTCCAACAACTTCCCCAAGATCTTCAACTACGCCCCCTCGACCTATCTCGGCCTAACAGGGCTCGCCACAGACGTCTCCACCGTCTCCGACGTCCTCCGTTTCAAAGTCAACATGTACCGCTTGCGCGAAGAGCGACATATCTCCCCGAAGACACTGGCCAACCTGACTAGCTCAACTCTGTACGAGAAGCGCTTCGGCCCCTATTTCGTCAGCCCCGTGCTGGCGGGCATAGATAATACGACGGGCAAACCGTTCATATGTGGCTTTGATAGTATTGGCTGTATTGATTTTGCGCAGGACTTTATCGTCAGTGGTACGGCGAGTGATCAGCTGTTTGGGACTTGTGAGGGGTTGTGGGAACCGGATCTCGTATGTTATTTTCCTTTCTTTTTCTATTATCTCATTTGATTTAAAGGGCTTTAATGTGCTGACTCCGTTGAACTAGGGACCTGATGACCTGTTCGAGACCATCTCGCAAGCCCTACTTAACGCCGTTGATCGAGACGCCCTGTCAGGTTGGGGAGCACATGTTTATATCATAGAGAAGGACAAAGTCACAAAGCGATTGCTCAAGGGACGACAAGATTAGATAGTTTTCTGGTCTGCGGTTTTCGTCTTATGGGTAGAGTGGGAAGATCTAGGAAGACGGAAGTGGTGACCAGAGGGGTTTCAAAGCCCTGCGTGTCCTCTTTATCTTTCTGTTTTCCTATTTTATTTTATTTTTGGAGCTTTGATAATTTCTGATAAATGGCATTCCCTTGGCACGATGTTCTGACAGTTATCTTTTTTTGTCGTGAAGCAAAAAGGAGAGCTAGATCCACGGTAATATGATGCTACTAGATTATGGGGCTTGGGATACTAGAACGGGGAGCTTATTATCAAGCACACGTTATGGGAAAAATACCCATCCATGCGAGTGAGCTTCCCCGACCAGCCAGTCGCGTAAATATGGAATAAATGAACCCCCAGAAATCTCAATTACCACGTAATGTACATGTACCATTGCATACTGAGTAAACGTGATCAAAGCCGTTTAACTTTTTCTAGCTCATCCCCTCGCTATTTTATAGAATTATATGTTGTGCATATATATATGACGCACAAGATCCATCCATCCATCAACCCGCCCAGCCCACTTCACATCTCCCCACAAAAATCCGAACACATCAAAACCATCCATCTCAAGCAGATCCAACGAAGAGACAGGGAAAAAGAAAAAGATAAAAGAAAAATTCGCGCATATTCACATCGACGCACATAACCCCAAAACCCCATCAAGCGCCTCATCCCAACTCTCCATCAACGATCCACAAAACAGCTCCAAAGACGCCGTATCCATCATCTCCTCAATCTCTCTCTTTACCGCCCCTTCCTCTTCCCCATCACCGTCGCCATTTTTAACGGTGTCTTTCTCAAAACCATAACCCCCCGTCACCCACTCCACCAATTCCCCCAACATCCCCGACTCGGCAATCTGCATCTTCAAAAAGCGCGTGTTCCGGCGGATAGCGTCGATGAGTTGCTTGACGAGGGTGTGGAGGTTTTCGAGGGTTTCCTTGTTTGGGAGAGCTTCTTTTGTGGTCGTAGTGGGGACCTTCGATTTTGTCTTTGCTGTTGATGATGAGGGAGATAAGTATGTGAGGAAGAAGGTGGTGGCCTTTAGGGTCTCGAGGAGGGATATTGTGGTGTGGAGATAGAGCCAGGAGGGGGCGATGGAGGAGGTGGCGGAAGGCTGTTGTTTGCTAGGAGGGGTGAGGGGTATGGTTGTTAGGAGGATTGATGTGGGTAGGGGAGTAGCGGATAGGGCAGTCAGTTTTTTAGTTAGGAATGATTCGAGGGTGGCGAGGTGGGTGGTTAGGGGAGCTGGTGGGGATGATTGTTTGGTGTTGGTGGCGGCGGATAGGGATGCGAGGGCCTTTAGGAGGGTGAGGTGGATGTTTACGTTTTCGATTTCGGCGGGAGTTAACTCTGTCTCGAGGAGGGGAAGGTCGAATTCTGGGTTGAGGTAGCGAGATAGATTGATATTTGGCGAGACTGGGTGTGAAGACGACGATGCCTTTTTTGTAGAGGTGTTACTCTTTAGGTAACTAAATAGGACGTCGGTGATGGTCATTGCTTTTACTGCGTGGGCCTATGAGTTGTTTTCAACCGAACGTTAGCTTCACTATCTGGTAATCACGCGTTGGTGTTCAAATGGAAATGACCTTACCCCTGGCTTGGGCCCGAGACGGACATGCTCTTCAAAGCTGAGTGTTCCTGGAGCTTCACAGTTCATGAAGCCGTCGAAGTTGCGTTTGTCAACAACAGGGTCTGTGTCGGAGACTGCTTATGATGTGCATTGTTAGCTTCACGGAAATATTCTTAGGAAATGAACAACAGATTTGGAAACCTACCAATATGGTCATATTGCCCTACCGGGTCGCCACCAACCAGCCGCTGAATCCTCCGGGTTTCCAATGCCCACATTCTTCTACATATGCTATTCTTCAGGCTCTTCTGCAGCTCGATGCTTCCAGCCACATTAACATAGCTCCCATGCTCCAGACCAACGTTTCGTGAATAGGTGGTCGCGATCTCAGAATTCCGATAAAAGCTCAACGCCTGCCTCATCGCAGTTTGTGGATCGTAATCCTTCGGTTCCAATCCTTCGTAAGGGGGGGCAGCATGCGGGTGCGTCGATCCGAGGCGGGTAAAGAGGTTATGTGCAACTGTTTCATATTGCATCTGCTTCACAGACAATTTATGAAACGACTTTAGGGCCAGCGAGCCCGCTCCCAGAAGGAGGTAGATCCGAACCAAGAGCAAAAGAGCTTCATAGTTACAGGGTGACTTGAGTAGCAAATTCTCTATAAGTGCAGCCGCTTGGACTAATGCAGCATGAGGGGCGACGTCAGGCTTAGACTCATTATTTGTTTCGTGTAATCTAATTAAGGCCATGACGGCTAAAAGGCATAGATCGTCACTTGGCTGGCTTTCGATGGTAGATGGAGCTGCACTCTGGTTAGGCCTTTCGGTGCTCCGGTAAATACGAAGGCACCGAGATACAAAGTTTTCGACCTTTTGCACTGAGGGTTTTTCGTCACCCTTCAATGACAACTGGAAACAGTACTCAAATTTCAGGGCATTGATAGCAGCAACTCCTTTAAAGGGATCGGTAACCTATAATAGCATATAGATTTAGTTTAGTGCTGTAAGAAAACGGATGGGGGTACATTTTGTCCTAACCTGCTTCTGATCATCTGCGCTCTGATCTGCAACAACCTTTTGGGAAGCATAAATTTGGAATTCGTCTTGCATCGACCGATCAAGTTTGATTAGATATTTCCGCAGGTCATGGAAGCAATAGAGCTTGGTACAATTGCGGTTGAAATATTCTTTGCACGCCGGGAGAAGATCTTCCAGGGGAAGTTCGTTCATCGTAATCCGTTGCTCTGTCAAGTCAAGAGCAGCCAACTGGGCATTCCGTGATTTTGGCTGCCTTTTAATGTACGCTGCGATGAAGTCCTGGGTCTCTCGTGGCGCCCTTCAAAATAAAATTTTATCAGCTTTCTGCGAGTAAACAAAGCTTCATGCACACGGTCAGGACATACTCTTTCTTTCCTAATTTCTTGGTGGCGGCGAGAAGAAGACTCCAAACTTGCCAATCGTCTTTCTCTTGGACAGCCGCCGTCGTCGAACCGTTTGTAAGGTCATCCGGAAGAGCAAGCAGCTCCCGGGTAAATGAGATTGCTTCATCCCACAGCCCTGCGTTTTCGAGACCTACAATTTTCGCGCTAACAAAAGCCCAATCTTTCTGGGCAATTCGAGACTCGATACCTAAGTGCTTGCTGTTAAGCAAAGAAACAATTTCCTCGTGGCGCCCTTGTGTTTCAAGGATCTTTATCAGCAGGAAGAGTTCTTCAGAGGTTTGTATCGCTCTAGCCGGACTCAATAACTCTTTCTGTGTAATAATGAGGAGAAACCAAATGAGCCTCACTTGTATACAACGGAAGATAAGAAGAGACATGAAGTACTCAGGGGGTTTTTTTTTCATACCGGGTCGGTTGGCACACTTGAGGCAGCTTTTAATATCATACGATAAGCAAGCGTACCAAAGAGCTTGCCGTCTATTTCCGAGTTCGCAGGGTCGATGGTGATGAGGTAGCACATCAAGATAGCCCAAAAGTAGTATTTGCGCTCTTTGGGGAAGTTGTTTTGCAGGCTCATAGCTGCCTAGGGACGACAAATGTCAGCTGGTTTCCTCCAATGCAAAATTAGACGAATGTATATCTCCATTGCTTCACAATGTAGAAGTTCAATGTGGAGATAGAGTAAGGGGCGAGCCTTTTTTTTTTTTTTTTTGTCGGACCTTCTGCGCAGTTTTCCAGTCGCCCATCTCCGACGCCATATTAAACCACTTCAGCTGAATATCTAGTGCTTGAGGCTTCGCCTTTGCTGCCTTCTCCCATATTGCGCGCGCGGTCTCTGCATGTTCATCAATGGTCTTCAGGGTTGAATAAAGCATATTCAGTGCTTCTATATCGGAAACGGGTGGTTCCATTCGGCAGAGCGCAAGAGCTTCTGAAATACCCCGCTGTCGATGGACGTCGTCGCCATGGCTGAGGAGAATATGCGCTTTCCACGCCTATATATCAAATATAACGCATTAACAACGTATTAGTGTTCGATTTTTCAAAAGTAAATGTATCCATTATAATAAAGCTTGCGGGATGCTATTTCAGAACTAACCCTGAGGAAATGCGAATCCTCGCCCTTCTTCAGTCGCTTTTCGCAGAGCTGCAGGGCCTGTTTGAGGTTCTGGCCGTCGATGGCATCTTGGATCTGCTTATTCCGGCGCTCAAAAACAGTGGAGGCGGACATGGTGAAGACCAGCCCGGTCGAGCTGCAGTGCGAGGATGTCTGTGTGGGGAGCTTGGTGTCTGCGGGGACCAGCGGAGGGAAGTCGGTGGATTGTACTACTCCTACACAATTCTGCGGGAAGGTACAAGATCTGCGCTAATAACCACATTTTGCCTAGTGAGGCTTAGCGTGCGGCTGCTATTCAACATCGGAAATACTGTACATCAAGATCATACGGCTCTTTGATTTTTGTTAAATCATAGTACTATTGCTTGCGGTAGATCTCTCAACATTTGATATGCATCATTCTCCCAAGCTTGCTCATTTTATCTCTAGTGTCCTTTGGCATACCATTTCTGTGAACGACCGGGGACTTGCCAGCATACCAACACCGGACCCAACACTAGAATTCCATTTCATCCTCGTAAAGCCTCCTTGCGGGGACACCTTTGCGGGCATCCATATGATATCCTTCTGCCGATCCGGCACGTACTTATAAAAGATATGACTATTCCACGCACTCGTCAACAACACCTTGAAATCACAGCCGTGATCTTTGGTCCATTGCACTATGTCCATGAGTTCTTGGACTGCAAATGCTCCTTCTTCACAAAGCGAGCTATTCTGTTCATATACGGTAATGGCATCAAGGACGCAGAAGACAGTTACATGTGGTGGTAGTTGAGAGATCATCCTATGGAAAATCTGGCATAGGCTGCTAATGTCCTGTTGGTCTGCTCGTTGGATTTGCTTGATAACGCTCATTCCAAAGTCAGGGTAAGCGATGAGGAGCTGACCAATCAAGTTTCGCAACATCCCACTGACGCCATAGTCCGGGCGTATGTGCTCTGCGCAAAGAAACAACAAGGCAAAGATGTTTCGTGGATTGTGCGGGCCTATGACATCTGACTGGATCGAATATGTTAATTTGGCGGAAATGAAAGACGTTGACGATGTCTTCTTGGGGTCGTTGAAATTGACCAGGAGTGCCGAAGAACTTGACTCGGTGATCCAGGAATGCAGCTTCGGTGATTGCATGATAGCAACTGCACGATCCTGATCGGATCTTGGCAATGCCCAGATGGTTTCGAGACTGGCCTCGATGTCGTTACGCATGACAGAGCTTTCATAGTCAAAGTCTGAAAGTAGGTCATCTTTCGCAGCAAGGTAATCTGTGATGGCAGGGTCAGTGTGCAACCTAAGACATGTGAAATAGTGTCCTATTAATACAGTACCTTGCACTAGATTGGCTTCAGATACAGCCCTTCGCAACGGAAGTGTTGGTCCTTTCACTACACCAAGGTCAGTGAATAAAGAGTTGATGCTGAATTCCTGCGCTCCTAAGATCAACTAACCATATTGTGTTTTGTAATCCGTTCGAACATTACTGCTGAGAAACGAGGCAAGGACTCTGCGCAGCTGTGAAACCTCATTGCTTATCAGTTTGACCTTCCGATTCACGCATCCAGCTGCCAGCTTGAAATCGTCCCGGAAATCCTGGAACTCATTTCTCGACTGATCAAAGTGCCCCACTATGATCTCCTGGTGCTTGCGCGATTCGTCACCCTGATCCATGATCAACTGCTTTGTGTTCATAATTGCATCATATGAACATAGCTGAGCCACTTGCCCAAAGCCTTTAGCTTCCTCTCTGAGAGCTTTTAGGAGATCGTCCATTTTTTTTATTTTTTTTTTCGTAGGTCTCTTGCTGGAACATGCTACGGAATAATTTTTCTAAGTGCTAGTCAACCTAAACGCCTCACAGTTCGCAGGCTTTGTTGAGCACATACTCGAGGCTTTTTCCCTATACCACGCGACGATGTGATGTAAGGCAGCTATTGTAGCGGCATAGAGAGCCGCGCTAGATCGACGCAAGTCGTTCGACCTCCTGAAGATACCCAGGGCTTTATGAGTGCTCGATATGAGGATGGGGATCTCCGCTAAAGCAATGTCGGTTCGAAGATCGTGCAAGCGCGCTGCGGCCTAGCTAGGTCTTAATGAAGAACGCACCGACGGTGCAAGTTAGGGCGGAACAAACCCAGAATATGAGTTTTAAGCCTCCGCACAGCAGAGAAAAGTAATGTGATTGTGACGGCAGGACGCTCGCCCATGCTTCAAAGGCTTTGTTATTCTTTCCAAAGCTCCGGAGGCCTTTTCTAATGTGCCCCCAAAATCCCGATACGTCATTATATTCATCTGATGCCTTCTTCACCTCTTGCAAAACTTCCTCCCACGCGTGCACCGATTTTGTCGTGACATCGGTGGAATTTCAATCCATCAGTTGTACTTTCGTAAGCTTCCAACGCCTTTTTGAAGCGTTTCTTCTCTGTTTCGACATCTATTTACAGCTCTTGCCTATATGCGATATCAGCTCTGAAACAGGAATCTATGGGGATAGGAGCGTATCTTACAGCGCCATCCTCATCGAGGTGGTCTTTTGCAACTGTCCGCTTTTGTTTTTGGATTGGCGATATGTCTGATGTTTTTTCTCCAGAGACGGGGACCAGTAACATATCACTCGTGGCCTCTTCATCATCTCTAACTGCTTTCATGCCAGGATGCGAATCGCGGGTGAGCCTCTAACGCAGATAAGCCAGCGAGCCCACCAAGGGCGTCGACGAGGGGGAGTGGCTTCATGGCTGGTCGTGGCATCTCTCATTCCCGCTCACTACAGTTCTGCCTCTAATTAACGGCATTGTATGGTCAATAGTTCACGGCTTGTGGTAAGATAGAGATGAGTGTTAAGTATCGTCCTTTAGCCACAAGACATCGATCTTTGAGCATTCTGTGCATGTGGCACCAGTCTCGTGGGGTCGAGGTGTAGCAATATCTTGAACCATTGCTTCGCTGCCCCGCAGAAACGTCTTTTTGAGTGACCACTCCTACGGCGGCGAAGTTCGATGCTTGCCGTTGTTCTGCGGGCCAGAATAAAAGTCGATTACACCACTGAAGCGGAAGAAAAGAAAGTGTACTAGCTGCTTGCATGCTAGAACGAACAACTCGCATTCCTATGCTTGAGCTTGAGGTACCTAACTTGACCCCGCACTTGAAGTTTCAAGAGCTATATATTATGAACTGAACCAAAATCCTCCAGATTACTTTGGCGTGTTGAATGCAAAGCCACATCAAATTTTCAATTGCGTTTCTCGCATTATTCACCAGCCAGCCAATGACCATGTCGGCAGCCAATGGTGAACGAAACGGAGCATTTGCACTGCATACACCCGAAGGCGAGAAGACTAAAAGTGAGTTGGCGGCGCAGTCCGGCAACTCAGAACCTGCACCGGCAGACAGCGATTTGAAGCAAATACTTAAGGCCTTGGTAGAAGGTCAAAAAGAACTACTCGGCAGATGGAACCTTGGGAGGTAGGAGCATTCTCCAAATTCCCTGTAGAACCACAGCTAAACATCCAATTCACTCTAGTGGCGGCGAGCTAACTAAGCATCAAGCCGCCCCAGCTTCAAAAGAAAAAGACCCAAAGGATGAAGCAGACCTTCAAGAAATTGCGATCAAGCGAGTCTCCCCAGGGGATTGGCGAAAGGTCAAAAAAGAAGGCAAAATTGACCTTCAGGAGAGCATCCTTCTTGTTTCTTCGAAAGCCTATGCAAGGTCTCAACTACGCCGACTGGGCTACAAACTGCCAAGAATACTGGACAAAAAGTCTTCAGAGGCCGCTACTGAGTCAAGTAGTGAGATGTTTGGACCGCCTTGCCGTAAATTCAACTCACCTTCTGGATGTGTTGAGTCAGTTCGTTGGTGAAAGCTCAGTGCTAGTCAAAACGTGTTTGTTCGCCCGTTCAAGTATCTCGTCGCGTACGAATCCGATATCAGACAGTGCCTCAAGGAGGCCGAGACAGCCTACGACCAGGCTGTATCTAGGCGGGATGAAATGAGACAGGAGAACCCCACAACTAATGTCCGTAAAAGCAACAATAAGGCTGGAAATGTGGTTAACAAACCAGAACAACAAAACCCAGCCCGTGTCACCAAAGACGACGACACAAACAATGCCGGAAGTTCAGCTTCACCAGCCAAAAGAGAAAGAGATGAGCTTCGTTGCCTTGTGAAATTTATGGATACCGATATGCACGATATATTTGACGCAAAACGCCGAATTTCCGACGGGGATATCACTGAGATTGCTTTTGAACATCTATGGCTACTATTTAAACCCGGCGATGTCGTCCTCAATTCGAGTTCAGATGAGAATCGGAACTGTCGTCAAGCTTATCGGGTTTTAAATATCACCGGCGGGAGAGCCTACTTTGACAGCGGCTACAAAGCCCGCTTCAGTGGTATCATTGATTATATCGGGGATTCAGATTCGGAGAATGAAGAGAAGTGTGGTGACGCTATCAAATGTTCGGGCATGGACACGACGTGCTTTATTATCGACGCTTTCTATATCGACTTTGACGGGGTTAAGCTTGGCGCCAGATCAAAAAGATTTGCAATTCCACCATACAAAGGTACAAGACCTGTAACTTCACTGGTACCGTTTCCGCTGCTTCCTAGCCCAGAGAGTGAACAAATACAACAGACGCTCATTGAAAGAGGGCGGCGTTTCGTGCAACTTGTCCCTGGAACACATAAAAAATACTCAGGACTTACGGTCCAGGAGGGGAATCAAACCTCCAAAGGGCGCAAGAATTGGATTATAAAAGAAACAGAGGTGGGTACGATCATCTCCAACGTTTCAAACTCCTTAAAGCTTAATGATTGATGAAAAAATGAAAATATAGTTACATAGCGAAATAGTGGTAGACCAGGCAGCCGGAGTTGAACACTTCAAACAAAAGGTGTCCCAGTTTGGAAGAAGCCTGAAATTCGGGTCCGGCGCCATCGCTAAAGCAACCCCACAGGACAAGAAGGAGACATTTGATCCTTTGCCTGAGCAAGAGGACGGTAATTGGATTACGGACGTCTTCGACGACTCCAAATTTGAGGAAGATCGTCAAAATGATTTCCGACGAACCACCAATCTTCTAGACTTACGAACACTGCAGCAAAAGCCCGTCCCAAACGATCATCTGATGCTTCTTCCTTATCGGGCCTACGGGTACGGTCTCCTTGATCACAAGTGGCTTCCTCTAAATATCAACAAAATCGAAGATTTACCAGTAACCGGGCAAGAGGCACAAGGGGCTAGATTTGAGGATCTAGTTCTACCGGAGGGTCATCGAGTGTTGCTTCAAGCGTTAATCAAAAACCAGGTCGAACATCCGAAGGAAAAGTCTGGGGGAACTGATGGGACACACGAGCCACTTGCACTGGATGCTGTTCTCGGCAAAGGCAAGGGGCTTATCATCCTTTTGCACGGCGCCCCGGGAGTTGGCAAAACCTCTACAGCTAAGTGCATAGCATCCCAGTTAAAGCGGCCCTTGTTGCCGATAACGTGTGGTGATATCGGCACCACTGCCCAGACTGCAGAAGCAACCCTTGAGTTCTTTTGCGTTTTGGCGCATAGGTGGAGATGTGTATTGTTACTCGACGAGGCGGATGTTTTCCTCGCGAAAAGAGAGAAAGGAGATATAATACGCAACAGTCTTGTTTCCGGTAGGCTTCCATGAATATAAGACTTCATTAGTGACAATGAACATGGTCGCTAATCTTTGTATAGTCTTCCTCCGAGTTTTGGAGTATTATTCTGGAGTCATCATTCTGACAACAAATCGCGTTGGCGAATTCGATGAAGCATTCAGATCCCGGATCCACATGAGCCTCTACTACCCAAAACTTGACGAAATGTCGACTAAAGAAATATGGGCGTAAAACTTACAGCATATCATCAAGAGCGGCCGTGACATTGATATCGAGGAGGACAAGATCAGGCGTTTCGCTAACAAGCACTGGCAGGAGAACAAATATAAACCCTCGCGGCGCTGGAACGGTCGATAGATCAAAAATGCCTTTTAGATAGCGTTAGCTCTTGCCAATTGATTTCAGTGAGGGGGAAAATAGCGCCAAACTTAAACGGCCATTAGTGAAGGCATCGCCCAGACAAGCGCCCATTTCGACGACTACATTAGTAACATCCACGGGACACAAGAGGACGATACGTACAGAATCCTTGCTGAGCGAGAGGAAATTCGTAAGGATACCTACAACGTACCCCCCTCAAACCAGTCAATGCAAGTTGGCCGTCCAAAGAGGAATCCACCACCTCCACGTCGTAGAATCTACCGACGCAACTCCGGGCTGCCACAGAGTCGCGGGTATGAATATGAAGATGACAATGAATCCTCGGAGGAAGATATTGAGCGTTTGAAGTTGAAGCTAGAGTTGGCGAAGTTGAAAAACAAGAAAGGGAAGAATGAAAAGGTGGAATCGGACGAGGAGAGTGACGAAGAGGAAGACGCAGCTTGGTAAAGGGGCACTTTAGATACACCCATATCGCGACCATGCGGACACGTTCCTACGAGTTTTGGGTATATTTCGAGCTGGCTTGGCTACGTTTAATCGAGAAGTTTTGATGGAGAAGGAGTCATCCTCGACATTTCTAATGCTAGAGCTATTCTCATGAATGATTAAATAAAAACTGCAAAGTGATGTGCATGGTGTGCAAGTTTCCAAAATATAAGAATGAAGTGCTATCGCGGCTGAAGTACAAGGGGTAGGGGGAAAAAGTGAAGCCCTGACAGGGCTTGACTCCTAACTTGGGGCAGATTACACAACGTAGAGAATACAAGAGGATCAACGTAGGAGATAGTAAATGGGCAGTACGCTGCTGTCCATGTAACCTGACCAGTTCAGGCCTCATCATTCACGTCGAAGGATGACATAGTTTATGCATCTTACAAATCTGATACCATTTAAGGACTTCAGAGAAAGATTTTCTATAGATATATACTTTTCAAGCCTGCTGGCAGCTCGGAAAATCCGAGATTTTTGCATCACAAAATCATATATCAAGCAGACGATTGACTTGAACTATCTAGGGAAACCGAAACAGTCACCACCTTATGTTGCATGTGCCATTTCCTGTGTCCTCAAGTCCAATTCTCCACTCTAAATAGTTGATATAATGTTACACGAGTGACAATGTCGGTCTCATTGGAAGGTGACACTTCGCGCTCTCTCCATCCCATCCTCAGTCGTATACTGCGGGTATACTGGTGTGTGTCGTGTGTGTCTATGTGTGCATGTTTATCATGATTCGTTACAGGTCGCTTCGTGCGGAGCTTGACAATTTGGTTAAGATCCTCCCGCCCATCCCTAGAGGGTTGCCTCTTTTGTTCTCTCGTTCTATATTTTTTTTTTCTATTGGCGCATATCGGGGAGGGCAGCAGGTTCTAAGCACTCTTCTTCCGCTGGATCATCTATAGGACAACGGTTTGATTAGTTTCAATAGTTTAGACATATATCGGGCAAAAAATAGCCACAGATAATCCACCAGACAAGGAACTGGAACAAATGTCCAATTTATCCCCATCGCGGGGAGGAGAAGAAGGATGTTGGGAAAGCGGGAGCCTCCAGCCACAACCATATGCGAAATATAAAAATTACATACCCATTCCTTTTTGCAATCGCGATACGCCCTAGGTGCATTACACCTATTAGCGCTCCATCCAACACGACACTGGATCAATCGCGGTGGGTGATATTCCTAGCCCACGAGCCATTGCACGAGGAGATACGGGGGGAAGAACTCTACTCACTGAAAGTAATCGCTACACATCGTCCTATCGTTCCCATTTCGCCGCATGCATTTGATGCTCCGGTCTGCGAAATCCTGACACGGGTCGTAGAACCCGCTGGCCGGTTTGCTATAATTATCCGAAAGAACACGAGATGAGTAGCGTTAGTTACCATATTATTATAAACGAAGTTTAAGATGCAGCGTAGCCAAGGCGATGTAATATGTTTGGATTGGCTGAGAGGAGAGGGGGGCCGCCCCGGTAGCAGGGGGGTCATGAATGACTCCGCTATGCTCTTGCTGGACAAATCTCGAACCCACCCAGCCATCCAAAGCTTTGAGCCAAAGATGAGAAAGAAAGAAAGGGGGCCTTACTGGTTAAATGCCGGCTTAGCCTTATCCCAGGCACTCACAGATTCCTCGGACACTTTGTCTGCGCTCATGTCGTGCTGGAATTGTCTCGCTCTCCGACTTTTTCTTCGGAACGAGGACAAAAAAAGATAGAGCGAACATCAGCTCCCAGCGGGTCGGAGAGACTTCTCCGGCAGAATTGAGCCGAGGTGGACCGGGCTTTGTCGCGCCTTGGCGTTGACTATTCCGCATTGGAATTAGTTCCCGCGGTTATCGGTCTCCTTGCGCCAACCTTAAAAAAACTAGAGTACAAAGTATACAAATGCTAACACAAACAAGCGAATGAAATTGTATTTGCCAAACAGGCCAACCATGCATCACACAGGAGGCCGGAGGAATCACAAATTGCACATATTCTCACTGAATCCACCAATCAAGGCGAAAAGTTTTTTTTTTTTTTTTTTTTTTTTTTTTTTAAAAAAAAAAAAGTATGAAAGGAAAGCCAAAAGAAAACAGATCCTTCACATCACCACCTCCCAATTTTCTTTCGCCGGTAAACCCTTCCGAACCCAAAAAGATCCGCAACGTCCAACCTGGGTCTCTTGTTTTCCCTACTAAAGGGACGCAACCTTTTAGTATAAGTTAGTCATGTCATATAACAATCAGTGGCTGCGCCTAGCCCGGACGAGGGAGGCCTCTGTTGATGCTTGAACATTCTTACCTGCGGCATGCTCGTAACCGTAATCGGCTTTTTACATTTGACCCATGCCTCTCGCCGAGTCCTTGGTAATGCATCGGTAGGCCCCAGAGCTAAAATGATATAAAGAATGTACAGACCGTGCTTATGGAATCGGTCAAAGGGTACTTCGAAGTCCTCTACCGGGGATGCTAGAAGCACAGTCATGAAATGGGAGGTTGTGCCCTCGGGAGACTGCGAGACTGAGTACACGCCTCCCAGATCATGTCTGCCAATCTTCCTGCATACCTCAAAGCGGTCAGAACCAACTGCATGGAATACTTTCACATGGATCTGTATCTCCACCGGGCACCATGGCTTTGTATTTTCCAGGCTCCGGACCCTGACAACCATTGGCTTTTGGAGTAGGTCATTTTCACGAATCTCCTCTGGTGGCTCGACGACAAACTCGAGTTTATAGGCCGTGCCATGGTGGGTAGGGTCAAGTTCATGTTCTCTGAAAATAGATGTTGGTATGAAATTTGGTATTTCAGGGCGGCGATACAGCATTCTTTTCGGTATTCTCGGCTCCGGAATGTCAAATGGCAGCACCATGGCTAATATCTTGGTTTTCGACGGGTACGGACTTGGATGAATAGATACGGGCTTTGAAGTTGGTGTTAGAATTATAACCGTGGAAAGAAAAATAAGTTCAGAAAACGCAGCATACCTTAGATTCATCATCGAGAGGTCAACTGAAGGCAAAAATTAAATCAATAGCGAAATGAACGGACAGTTGTTAGAAGGCCTTCAAATGGCACAGGTTCCAAGGCTCGTACTTATACTCCTAACGAAGCTCAGACAGAGTCGAACTGGAGAGGTAAGTAGAAATTTGTTTGACCTTCCAGAATTCCCAGAGCAATCAAGAGGCAAGAGAAATGAAACTTTCAACAGAAGCAATAAATTCCATAGCAAATATAGGCAACGCGCAAACGAGAGTCAGGGCAAGCTGTAATAGCATGATTCCGCCCATGGATAGGTGGAAGGCCCACCAATTAACGTAGAGCGAACCTCAGGGACATTGTGGCCCCTGGAGAGAAATCCAGAAACTCCGTAATAAGACTTGAAGGAAGGGAGAAGATCTCAAGACGGAATATGTCAACGCCCGATGGATGTGAAAACATCTCAAGAATGATTCCCCGTCCTGCAAGAAGGAAGCAAGAGCAGAGCCTGGACTTGCATGAACAATGAACAACAATCAAGACAAAACAAACATTATTCATTACACATAGATAGCAGTTGTGCTTTCTTCAATCTTCAGACCTTCATCATAGCGATGGATTTGAAGGGAAGGAATCAGCCTCTCATATTGTTTCTCATATGTGGAATGAGACGAGAGAGAGAGAGAGAGAGAGAGAGAGTTGATAATCACAAGTGTTATCTTGAGAACATAGATATATTCATGGACTTAGTTCCTGATTGAAAGAACTAGAACTGATTTATAATCCATGCAAAAGATGTTTGTTTAGTTGATCAGTATCTGCTCGTTGAGTGCAGATTGATTGATTGATTGATAAGAATAAAACAGCAGCCTGAACTCATGATTAGTTATTAATTACCCAACAACGAATTGTCGACTTTAGAAGCCCCAAGAAATGGCCCATTCAATGTACTAGGATTCAAGTTAGAAATTATCCGAGGATTGAAAGTACCCGGGGAAGAGAACGGAACATATTCCCTCTCATGTTCCAGAATCGTTTTTTTCCAATTAACATTTAGAAATAAGATAATTAGGGAACGGACGAAAGAGCGGTTGCTCGTTCGCGAACCCTAGATCGGAACGTTGTATGTTTCATTTTCATTTTTCATTTTTTATTTTTTATTATTTTATTAGTTAACTATGTAATATGCAGCAGTACAAGCTCTGTCACCATGGATCATATGACCATTATCTACAACAAAGACCTGAAGCTAAAAGGCCTGGCCCCTTGTTTCTGGCAAGGTCCAGACAGATATAGTATGTTTTTTTCGGCTCTGAGGAATGGAGGAGGAAGAAGAGCGAGAATAAAGAAGGGAGGATGATAACGCCCATAACCGCTTCAAGCCAAGTCTTTCCCCAGGATCCAAGGGCCCCAGGATCCATCCCCCAATTGAGTCAAAATTTCCATTGTGCTCCCGTTGGTCCCTTGGAAGTTAGACGCTACGAGGTGGCGGGAAAAAGCCAAAAAATTACACTTAGTTTCTAGTTTCATGAATAGATAAACTTTTATCTGCTCTAATAATAGTTTTTTTATGCTAAAAAATGAAAAAAAAAAAAAGCTACCCCTCCACACCGTTTAAATGATTTTTGCATCATTCATTCGTTGCCTCCCACCCCAACTTCCATCTCCCTTTTTTTTCCCTCCCCATGGCCCAGAATTGAAGGGTAGCAGACCTTTCTTGCCGCCCACTGCTTTCGTAATTCCTGCCAACTTTGTCCATCATATCCACCCTCGTCGGCATATTTTTTATACAAAACTCGCCTCAAACTTGCAACCTTGGATTATTTTCCATCATAGTAATCCATAATCCGTTTTGATATTTCCATTATGACATGAACGTCGGTGGGTCGAGTGCTCGGTTATCGTAAGTTGACCCATGGCCATGTGTCAAATAATCAATCGTCCACACCGCACGGCAACTGTAGCGATCTTCAGCATTGTCAGCTGTATAATCTGTAAGACGTGGAAACGTGAAAAGGATCGTGTTGCTGGGTTTTTGAGAGGGGTGAAATGCGTAAGACGGTTTAGATTAGAGCATCGTGACATAGCAAAACCGCCTAGAGACCGCAGTCTAGACCCTTGTCAAGACGCCCAGTCCATTGCAACCCAGGCAGAATGTAATATGGAATGTGATTCATGGCTCCGTGCCAAACCAAACACAGCAACAATTTCCATCTCGGGTTCAAAATGCGGGAGGGGGGGAGGAGGGACTGGAGGATGCGGATCCACTGCAATCATGCCATGGCCTTGGTAATGCTGATGTGTTTTGTGTTCTGATGCATTGGCAACAACACAACTTTTTTGCTGGGGGGATTTCCATACAGTTTGTACATGTACAAAGCCCCGGCACTTTGAGTTTTGGTCCCCCGGGTCACATTATCAAACATAATGTTGCGAAGGATGAGAATCAGCGCCTCCAACCCCCGTTCCCGTTCTCAGCAATTAACAGCGTTGTTATCCCATGGCGATGTGTATCTCCTATAACGTAGAAGGTTAAAAATAAAAATAAAAAATAAAAATAAAACATTCCTTTTGCAGGTCTCGGCATTGCGATGGTAGGGCCACATTAACTTATCGCCGACCCGGAAAGCAGTGTGGTCATCGCTCTGGTTTCGTACCGCACCCAGGTAGATGTCCGGGCTATTCACAACTCACGGACTAGCTTGTTGTCCCTGCGAACATATGTGTCTAGGTACCTTCTTGGGTGATATAGCCAGGTTGTTAAAAAGGAGGATCGGTCGGCCGCAACTATAAATACCCCCTTCTTCCCCGAGAAAACTGCATTCTTCTTTCAAGTCAGCATTTTAAATATTTATCCAAGGAAAGGGATTATTAGCTGAAACTTTTCATAAACAAACCATATTCATAAAGCTTCTGAAGTCCCTTTTGTTTTTGCCTTCTCCCTCTTGATATTTACTTCCCTGCATAATATTCCTAGTTAGCGACGGCAGCAAAACAGAGAGTGAGTTTTTGCTACCCCTTGGTCCAAGTTCGACGATGGGAACTCTTTTTTAAGTTGCCCTATTTTTGTATGAACAATGTCGAGTTGTATCTGTGTTGTTGTCTATCATAACCCCCATCATCGCCACATCCACGATGGGCAATGATGGTATCGACAAATTAGAAGCTGTGTCAAGGGGCGAACACTCACGCAACAACAACAAAGAACAGCACGATGGCGACAGCAGATATCCTCACCCCTACCTCCTTTCCTATGGCTCCGGGCCACATGCCTTCTTCCAGTTACGATGACGAGGTCAACGCATTGAAGGGCACCACCAATGGCACAGTAGTACCTTCCCAGGCCGAGGAACCAGTTCGGTTTGATGCCCAAAAACATATTCAATATAGTCCACCGCTCAAGGTCCACACCATGAAGGAACTTGGCTATAGCGATGATGTTGGAGTCTCCTCGATCGGAGTTTCCGAGCCATTCCCTCTGTTCACTCCTGAAGCGATTAACCAAATGCGAAAGGAGATCCTTAATGAAAAGGTCTGGGAACACTATCAATTCTCCAGCAACCTTGCGCATTGTCAATTGCGCGGGTATGCCGCCGAGTAAGTTGTTCCAGCTCCGATTGCCCAACTTGCATAGATTAATATAGTTCCCCAAAGGTATGCTCCATTCGTCTATGACGCATGGCAGAGTCCGGATGTCCTGAAAATCGTTTCAAATATTGCTGGCATTGACCTCGTCCCCGCAATGGACTGGGAAATAGCCCATATCAATATCTCCGTGCCATCTCAGGCCGATAAGGGTCAAAACCTTACTTCTGAGGACGACGACGAACCTATCGTCGATTGGCATACAGACAGCTATCCATTCGTCTGCGTTACCATGCTCAGCGATTGTACCAACATGGTGGGCGGCGAGACTGCATTGCGCAAGGGAGATGGGTCGATTGTGAAAGTCAGAGGGCCACAGATGGTGAGTTCACTTCGCTTATTCTTAGGTGGCAATAGGTCCCTTTGCATATCCATACTGATTGATGTCAATAGGGATGTGCTGTGGTGCTCCAAGGACGATACATCGAACATCAAGCTCTGCGTGCTCTGGGTGGGACAGAGAGAATCACGATGGTAACATCTTTCCGTCCGCGCTCGCCAGCCCTGCCAGACGACACTGTTTTGACAACTGTTCGAGCCATATCCGACCTGTCAGAGCTTTACTTCCAGTTCTCCGAGTACAGGCTTGAGATATTGGAAGAACGCGTCCGGATGCAGCTTAAAGAAATCCGCGACCGGAAAAAGGCCCGTCGAAACTTCAACACCAAGGCGATGAAGAAGTTCCTGCTCGAACAAGAGAAATTCTTAGCCCACATGAACAAAGAAATGGTTGAAGACGAACTGGTGACGAAGGGCTTTACGGACGATAGCCATTTGATCTCAGAAGAGCTTAAGGAGCGTCATAAGAAACGAACTTCCGATGATGGCAAGTAGGCTGGTGGGATTATTGTTTTTTGCAGGAATTCTGGCAGGAAGGCCCAATGTCATTGGTCGTGAAAAAAAATGAGCGTAATTACTTTTCCATCGAAGAGCTTGACCGTGAGTGGTAATTGCTGTGGCGTGTATTGGACTTAGGGATAGTTGACTATTGCTTCTGTTCATCGTTGAAGAAAATATTGCCCGGGTACATTGTCGCATTGGGGAGCATTGGATATTAATTGTTGCTTCGGGTTTTCGAGTTTCAAAAAATTGGTCCAGCAGTTAATTATAATTATATAGTGGTGCATAGGATTCCAAATTGCAGTTGTTGCCCATTCGATTTGGAAAAAGGTTTTGCGAAGTGAGGCGCAAGGCTATTTATCAGAGCAGATCCGGAATAGAAGTTGAAGTCGCGTAGGGTTTTCCAGTTCACATGAACGGCCAGACAGTAAATACTATCTCTGACGATAAGCAAAAGAGTATAATATAAAATAAAATAAAATCAATAAAATGGCAGCGTATTGAAAACCAAGAATAAATTTTTTTTGCATAGATTCAAAAATGGTATATATGTCAGTCATATTCCACTTCGCTCCACATTTCAAATGGAGGTCGCAGGCAGGAGATGTTGCGGCACGGCAAAGTGTGCCTATAATTATTTCTCCGTATATATTCTTCAATATCGAGTAAAATATCGACACCACCAAGCCAGCCTCATTGCTATCCACAACGGTGTTCACACCTGTTCGACAACATAAAGATAGCGGGGAGATGGGTTGGCGAAACTATTAAATGTAAGCCTATGAACACAAATCCATGTAACAGGGGCATTTAAGGAATCAAACAAAATAAATCATTTTTTTCCCTGCGGGAAATGTGTTCTCTGCCTATATTTTATGTCGTACCAGCTCCCTACATGTTTGCGAGACCATCCGTAGAGCGGGAGACGCTTTTTGTTTCGGAAGCGAGCCAGAGCTGGGGGAATCCCCGCAGTATTTAAGCCCCAGCAAGAAGGGGGCAGGCAATTCGAATGGGGCAAAAATATCCAAAGCCTGGAAGGGCGCGACAGGGTTTGGTAGGCCGGATTGGTCCATGGCCGAAAGCTGCATGGATGGCTGTTCTAGATTGTCCCACAATGTAATCCGTATACATACGTATTGTCATCTAGAGGAACTGGATTCGAAATTTGTTTTCATCACTGTTGTCCACCTATGTAATCTGTATTTGCAGAATCTGCACTCCACTGATCTCTGCCCACTGTCACCATAGACCTCCCTTCCAAGGTTCTGTGGTGCCAAGAGAGAGTGGACTAGAAGATGTAAAAGACCACAGCAGGGTTGTACGTAGCACATAGAATTCAACACTGGATTCAATAACTAGGAAACAACACTTCCACCCATCCACAACAGGACGTGGAAGAACGAAGATGATGAAGTCGAGAGGTTTGCCGGACTGGGTGTGTGAAGTTTGACAAACCTTGGAGTAGGCGGCAGAATCACGTGCTGCGCTTATGTAACACTAGCCTAATCGGGTTAGTCTATTCCTCAGCCCCTACGCGAACGGTGACGTGCGGTTGTGTTGCATGAGGATAATCCTATATACAGCTTACGGGATTACGGATTATGCCTCCCCAGGACTCAATTTCTAGTCAGTTCGCGATCAGCCTGCCTTAACCTTTGATTAACACTCTCGTTTGACATGACCACTGCCTTCCTAGGTACTCAAAAGGCATTACGTCGCTTACTCAAGCGCACACAAACCTTCTTGACTCGCAGAGCCTTGTCCACCCTCCACCCAAGGTAGCAGAACCTTTTGAGCTTCGAACGCCTCACCCCGTGTGTATCCAACGGCAAAACATAATCTTCCTCGCGGCTCAAGGTCTAATCCATACAAGAGTGTTCGTCTATCAAACGGGTCCCCGGTGACGTGGTAAAGGGGTGATGTCTGCCACAGCGACCGTTGGCCTCGCCGCTGGGTCTGCAAAACCTGGCCCTGCACTCCCGATTGACCCGTCAGGAGTAAGTGATATAGGCTCGCCTTATTTCTTTTTACTACTATGGCTGACAATACCACCGTCTTTAAGCTCCTACGAACTGTGCAAGGTCATGTCGAGGATATCAGATCTCTATTATACTGCGGGGTTTGTGTGAAACCACTGTATGAACCGTTCACTTTGGCATGTGGCCATACATTTTGTTACAGTGTGAGTAAAGTCTATGCGTTTTCTATGGGGATAATATAACTAACCTCCTTGTAGTGTCTTACACAATGGTTTGTGAACCATAAACGGAAAAAGACTTGTCCAGACTGCCGAGCTTCTGTGTCAGCCCAACCTGCTCCAGCCTACTTAGTATGGCCCCCTCGCTTGTGATATACGCCCACTCCCATCGCTAACGTTACCGTTTACCAGATCCGTGAGATTGTCCAGATGTTTATCAGTAGGGCGGAACTACTTGAAGGCGATGAAACCACAAAGGAACATCTCTCGAACAAGCTAGCGGAGACCGAGAAGATGGAATCGGACAAGAGCAACAAGGACCCAGTCAATGGCGGCCTGTTTCAAGGCTGCTTCAAATGCCCTCTACCCTTTAATGAGCCAATCAACGACATCTTGGATGGTGTTACTCGATGTCCTCGATGTGCATGGGAACTCGAGGAGGGGGAATGTCAACATTGTGGGTTTTCCGCGGTAGGGTATTCTTCTGGCGGTCGTTCGGACAGTGACTTTTCGGGTGAGGATGGCTCAATTACAATGACTGATGCACTTGATGAAATCGAGGATGGGTTTTCGGGAATCGATACAGATGATATAGCGTGGAACGAACTTTACGGTGATTTCGAATACCACATGCGCCAACACCGCCAACACGTATTTAGCAATGCAAGCGATCTTTCGTCCATGAACCAGAGGAGCGATTATAGCAATGACGAAGATTCACATGACTCGGAAATGTCGGACTTTATTGATGACGGCCCAATAGAAGAAGCCATAGAAACGGATCACTCCACTGTGGTTGGCGGGAATAATATCATATCGGACTCTGATAGCGACATGCAATCACATATAGCGGCTGCACCCGCTATCCCTAGAGCTCCACGCCCTCGGCAGACAATATCCTTCGGGAATGACGACGATGACGAAGATCATGATGATGGCAATAGTGTTAGCCAAGGGGAAACAGCGGGCAATATAGATAATATCGATGACGACGACGACGACGACGACGACGATGATGATGATGATGATGAGCCTGTACGAGCGCCAACGAGGGCAATTCAGCAACGGCGCCAGATATCTTCCGATTCTGTCAACCGTGTCTCCCGTCTCCGCAACCGCACGACAACGGCTAGCACAAGGACATCAGTTCTTGATAGTGATGAGGAGGAGGATGGTGGACCTGCCCTCTTAAACCTCTCAAATCGTGTTCACGCGTCAAGTTCAAATACGCACAGCCCAATATCTCTCGACGATGATTCTGACGTCCCTTTCGCCCCGGCAAGGAGCCGACGGAGAGGCCCGCGGCCAGGTCAGATACGACCAAGCCAGCGTCGGGATCGTCGCCGAGGCCAGAACACTATTAGCCCAGGATGAGTTTTGATTATGCCGAACCAAATATCTCCTCAGGCCTTTGCCCGGTATATCTTTCATATTCTAACCTCGTCAAGGCTACTAAATCATATTGCCCCGCCAACTGAACATGGAAGCGATCCTACGCGCTGTGGGATATGTGACTCAGCCAACTATCTCTAATTTCCTTCGCTGGGTCGATGAACATGCCAACTAAGTACTCCGCGAAGGAAAAAAAAGGAATACTTGGATCAAGGAAGCCGTCGAACTGTCAATATCACCGAACCGGCATTCTCGTCATGAATTCATTATGGTTGCTAGAAATCACTATTTCGTTCTTCAAAGAAAACCGTGGGCGAGTTCTACTCGTTATCCCTTAGGCGTTCCAGCCAACTTGCCTAGCAAACCAGCTTTTAACTTTTACATCATCCACAGCGTCGAAACAAATAATTATCGACCTACGAGTGCCAGCGTTCCTCGTGCTCTCCGCTCTTTCCCGCCCATGGGCCAAATAAATACACCACATCATCACCCTCCCCGCCAGGCGTTTTCAATATTCCCTACCGCCTCAGCCATTTCTTACACACATATTTTGTCCGTTTTTTTCAATCACCATTTTCCTTTTCTATTTTCGTATTCCCGCCACCTTCATTTACAGTCGTCTTCTCAAAGTACTCACATATTATTACCTAGCATCTCCTCCATTCCAACATTATTCTTGCGCCCGTTCTCTTCTTTTCGCCATCCCATTTTCTTCCTCCCCTTGTTTGTCTCCAATATTGTTATTTTTCCGGTGGAATCCCTGAACCGTTTATCCTATGCAGAAAAGATTTCCAGGATTGCAACGAGAACATTTAATTACTAGCGGGGGGAAGGGGCGTTTCCGGAACATACCCACATCTTACATCCATACGCGTATACAGGCATAAAATTTAAGTCCGCCGATGAAGAATGGTGGATATTCAGGGTTTGGCAAGGAGTTTTAAAATGTATAGATTTTCGGATTGTGCCGTTTCGCTTTTTTCTATTTCTTTGGTTTTCCTATTTTTCTTTCTCTGGTATGGTGTTTGTTCGTATTGTTTATCGAAGCATGCAATATGGATTCACGATAGTTAATAAGGATATAATACTTTTTGTTTTTGTTTTTACACGAGACTCCCTTTTTTCTCGATCGATTTGTGTAATAAGGTAGGCGGTCGTTGAAAATCCTTCATGCTTCGTACAGTTGCTGATGCTGGCTACATATTGTGTATCATAAATATAGATACCCTTGGATATGTTAAATGTATATGTACATGTACATGTACATGTATAACCTCCAAGCCACATAATATGCACAGCCATAGACAGAATGCCCGCACTACGGGTAAACCAAAGATGGAGGGGAAGGGGACATCAAGAGCGAATAACATGTAGCAATTATTGGTGCAGTGGGGGTATTTCAATATTTTATAGGCACATTTTTTTATGTACAGTACATGTACATACATACTTGGTACAAACATTCCAGTAATCGGTTTTCAGAAAGGCAAGGAAAAGAGAAGAGCGAAGAATGGAAAACGAATATATGAGAGAAAGGAAAAGAAAATCAAACCTTCATCCATGCGGGTTATGATCTACGAGGTCAATGCCAAACACATGGTAATAAATTTAACAATTCATTCATTCAAAAATCCCGGCGCCTGTATATCCCCTCCACATACTTCCATTTAAAACCAGAAACATCAACCTTCTAGCCACCCAAACTCAACTCCCGGGTCACCTCCTCTCCCAAAAACGGCACCTCAAACACAACCGCCCCATTCCACCCCCCCACTCCCGTTCCATCACCACACTTCCCATTCTCGTCAGTGTTGGTAGAGTACTTCCACCGACCAAGTTTATGCTCTTTGCCCAGGGCCGCGACGATGCAGATACCCTTCTGTTCCTGCCCCTGCTCCTTTTGAGACGAGGAGTTAGATTTGCCTTTCTTTGACTTCGGTTTGAGGGCCGTAGCTTTGGTATCATCGGGGGCTCGTCGTTCGAATACGTCGATGCCGTTAACGACGCCCTTTAGGAGTGGATGTGGGCGAGGGGCCTGTCCACTTGATGTGGACGCGGGGGCATCGAGGTCCATGTTATTGTTATCGTTACCTACAGGATCCGTCGAATTGACGGCGGGTGGTGGTGATGATGGCGATGGCGATGGCGCGCCGACTGGTCCCAGTGTTACGATTGTTCTTTTATCATCGGAAATCTTCCAGGCGCGGATCCATCCGTCCCAGCTTCCACTTAAGACAATATCCGTCCCCGGCAATGTTGTGAGGGCTGTTATCCACCGCGGGTTGGGCGACATGTTGCGCGTATTATTTTTTGCAACGATGGGGTCAATCTCAGACGACAATTCGTCGAGTGGTGGTACGGGGTCGACCCCATGTGCCTGGTGGACCGTATAGACGGGTTTTTTCTTATGGATTGACCAGAGCGAGATGGCTCCTGAGTCTGAGCCTGTGACAAAATGTGTAGGCGGCAGTACAGCCACGCAATCGATTGAACCCTCAATATATGAGCTGCCTTTTGAGCTACCGCCACGGAAGACGAGCTGCGTTTCATCAACGACCTTCCATAACCGTGCAGTGCGGTCGCGAGCACCAACACTGACACACTGGTCTAGCGCCATTGAGTCAACAGCGATGACGTTGTCCTGGTGTCCGAAGAGGGTCTCCACGTACGCGTGCGCCCCGGGGCTAAGGGACCATGTTTTTATGGTGCGGTCGAAGGAGGAGGAGAACAGTTGTTCGCCGGAGCTAGATGAGGAGATTCGTCGTGTGAATGATAGCCCGCTCACGGCGTCACGGTGTTGATTGAAAGTCTTCAGAGGGGTGAGGGTCTCCGCGTCCCATATTATTATGCGCCGGTCCGCGCCTCCAGTTGCTACGAACTCGCCTGAGGGCGACACGGCTACCGCGAGGATATTTCCGATATGGCCCTGCGGGTTACTTCCTTCATCGGTTTGCTGTAGTCCCCGAACGGACCTGATTTTCTTTGGTTTTTTTCTTTGAGGACGCTTCGCTCTCTTTGATTCTCCGTTGGTAAGATGAGCTGTTTGTTCTGTAGGTGGGCTAGGGTATGGGGTCGCCAGCTCCCATTTTATGAGCGTCTTGTCTTTGGAGACTGTATAGACGAAAGGTGAATGTACCGCAATTGCAGTGGTACTTTGTGTATCCGCACGAAAGAATGAATGCGACGCTGTAGAAAAAGACAATTGCGAGCTTATTTGTCGATATATCCGTCCCTTCAATTCATCCTGGAACAGCGAAAAGATTATCAGCATTTATACACACAGAGATAGTTTGTTCTTTCCTTTAGCTAGAGGTAAAACCTACCACATCCTCTTTCAACCTCTCCGCAATCAAGTCCCGGTCAATGTCAGCAGCATCAAAGCCAACCTCGTCAACCTCTTCTCTTATATTTTCCAGATATCGCTCCGCCAGTCTCAACCTCCGGTCAGCTGCAGTCTCGTCTTCCGACTCCTCCTCCGAACCCTCGTCCTCAATTGACGCCTCACTTTGGGAGAAGTCATCGTCATCAGATTCGCTTCCAGATATCGACTCGTCCCTCAATTTTCTCTTGTCTCGCTGGTCAGCATCCTGAGCGCCTTTTCCGCCCCCCTTTGCTGATACCCCCCTCTTCTTTGACGCAGGTGCTACACCACCATCGTCTCTCTTCCGCTTACGTTGGGAAGCTGGTAGCGTGAAGAAAGAAGACATAGCGCAAGCCTAGCCCCGAGTAAAGGGCAGCAAATTGGAAAATAAACAAAGGAAAACAACAACAACAAAAAAGCTGCTGTTTAACCCTGGTATACAAACGAAAACACCTCGTAAAGTTCCTCTCACACAAAATTTGGAACTTTTTTTCCATGCTTGGAGTTTGTTCTGTTTGCATCTTACCGAAGTCTTGGCATTTAACTTACCCCGGAGTCGGATAAATATTACGCCTAAGTCCAAGAGCCAACCCTTCCTGATTAGGTAAGGTCAAGGCGTCAAGCTCACGCGTGTCTTCCAGCACAGCTACACCTCATACAGCAATATGAAAGAGCATCAGATACCCAGATACCCACCCGGACAACTGAACAGAACAGGAACAGAATAGCAATCATTTACCAGCTTCGAGGACCATAAGTTACGTCTATACTCGGACACAGCAGCAGACATCATAACATCATGTGAGTTTCACTCAACGGAATATCGACTCAGTACATATCCAATGCTAACCCATTCCCAGGGAGGTCCTGCTTGGTATTACCGGCAAGGACTTTACTCTCATTGCGGCCTCCAAAGCTGCCATGAGAGGAGCTACGATTCTTAAAGCTTCTGACGATAAGACCCGAGAGCTGAGCAAACATACCCTCATGGCATTTTCAGGAGAAGCTGGAGACACAGGTACAGACATCACTCTGCCAGCATTTATGAGAAGGGAACTTATATACATCTAACTTTTTCTCTGTACCCTACAGTCCAATTCGCCGAATACATCCAAGCAAACGCCCAACTATACTCCATGAGAAATGAATCTGAACTCAGTCCATCCGCCGTCGCCAGCTTTGTACGGGGCGAGCTTGCCCGTAGCCTACGATCAAGACGACCTTACACCGTAAACCTCCTGCTAGGCGGTGTGGATCCCCTCACGGAGAAGCCCAGTCTGTACTGGCTGGACTACCTGGCGGCCCTCGCTCCAGTTCCATATGCTGCACATGGCTATGCCCAGTTCGTCCATCTTTTGCCGATATTTAGGATACTATCTAACAGGACTTTAGATACTACTGCCTATCGATTCTCGATAAGCACCATCACCCCGATATCACGCTGGAGCAGGGCTTGAAACTTCTCGAGATGTGCACAGATGAACTTAAGCGGAGATTACCAATCGACTTCAAAGGAGTACGTCCATGTTGCTCTATCCCTTTCCATTTCTTATTTTTCCCAAAGCTGGATGAGCATTTACTGATAGTCCTCCTTTTGTAGGTATTGGTGAAGGTTGTGAAGAAAGAGGGGATCGAAGAAGTGCCGTTTGATAACAGTAAACAAGTTGTTAGCGCATAGATTTGAATATTGATTTTTGTTTTGAATGGCGATGTGATGTATCATAGCACTTCTTTTAATGACTTTTGCTTTGAAATGACCTTTAACTGCCATCGCGGCCCATGAATTTACTCTATAGTTCGTGTGTATCATATCTGTAAAATTGTACCTATATGGCGTAGCGGACGGAGAGACAAGTCCTGGGACGGGACGCGCGCTTGAAATGTTTGCTCTGTTTGCATCACCTCCAATACCTACCAAAACAGCCGCAACAAAAGTTCTCATCAACCTTTTACTCGCAACAACATTATTTCCTGCTCACCAGATACTTACACAATGGCCAAAAGACCAGCTGAGACATCTCTAGAAGATGCATCTTCTGTCGATTCCCCAACCTCGAAACGGCCACGGGTGGAAGACGCAGAGGATGAGCAGCGACCACAGCAGCAACGCGCTCGGCGCAGCCCGCTCCACGAACGACGATGGGAAGACGATGAACGCAATGGAATGGACATTTTAGCAGCAGCTGATCAAGAGGAGGAAGAGATCGAAGAAGGTTCTATTCATGCAACTCCCGATTCCGGCGAAGAGCAAGAGGAATCGGCGATTTCCGCCCCTACTCGGCAGGCAGCGCCGACACAGGGTTACGGCGACCTATACTTAGATACCATACAGCGATCAGTGCTGGATTTTGATTTCGAGAAGCAGTGCTCCGTCTCGTTGTCAAATATCAACGTCTATGCCTGCCTTGTATGTGGGAAGTACTATCAGGGTCGTGGACCTAAGTCGCATGCCTATTTCCATGCGCTCGATGTTGGACATCATGTCTTTGTAAATATGGAGACGAAGAAGGTGTACGTTCTACCAGAAGGATATGAGGTTAAGAGCAGAAGCTTGGATGATATTAAATATGTGGTTGATCCGCAGTATAAGAAGGAGGAGGTTGCGAAGCTTGACAAGGTGGTTATTGATGCTTGGGATCTGGCGGGCAAACGATACAGGCCAGGTAATATTGGATTCCGTTTGGCAGTTATACTGGACACAAGACTAATGAAAAATGATACATTTTAGGATACGTCGGAATGAATAATATCAAGTCTAATGACTACTTAAACGTCATTGTTCAAGTCCTAGCGCACGTCCGTCCCATCAGGAACTTCTTCCTTCTCCACCAATTCCCGACTCCTGGAACTCCCCAGCTCCCTCTCCGCTTTGGCATCCTAGTACGCAAATTATGGAATCCACGCGCATTCAGGTCTCATGTTTCACCGCACGAGTTACTCCAAGAAGTTGCCCTCCGCTCATCGAAGCGCTTCACTCTAACCCAACAATCAGACCCTGTCGACTTCCTCTCCTGGTTTTTGAACAACCTCCACCTCACTCTGGGCGGCTCCAAGAAACCCTCTCCAAAACCAACCAGCGTAATCCACTCCGCATTCCAGGGTCAACTCCGCATAGAAAGTCAAGCTATAACAGCCCGCTCAGACGCCGCCAACGCGCGCCTCGTTTTCTCCGAATCTATGGAAACGACCTCCCAAACTACGCCTTTCCTAATTCTCACCCTCGACCTTCCCCCCACCCCACTCTTTCAATCTACTAACACCGAATCAATCATCCCCCAAGTACCCCTCACAACCCTTTTGAACAAGTACAACGGTCTCGTCGCATCGGAGAAGCTCTCTCACCGCGTACGTCACCGGCTGCTCCACCCCCTACCTCCCTACCTCCTCTTCCACATAAAGCGCTTCAGCAAAAACAAATTCGTCTCCGAGCGCAACCCCACTATCGTTACTTTCCCGTCTCCACGTTCCCTCGACATGTCCCCGTACGTCGAACCTAATCCAGATCTCTACCCGGCCGGCGAACCCATATTGTATGATCTAGTCGCAAACGTCATCCTCGACGCAACAGTCACCGCACCTGGTGTTGGCGGTAGCAGCGAAAGCTCCAGCTCCGGCCCTGCATCTACCGGTAATAAAGGGGGCGCAGCTGGCTCGACCGCGACGACCGCAGGTGCGGGTGCGGGCAACGATAAGGTTTCTTGGCTTATACAATTGCATGATAAGGCTATGAGTGTGGAGAATGAGCATGCACATGCGCAACAGCACAGGGGGCCGGAGTGGTTGGAGATTCAGGATTTGTGGGTGCAGAGAGCGGAGAGTGAGACTCTTTTTACGCGCGAGGGGTATTTAATGGTTTGGGAGAGGAGGAGAGTTGGTGGGGAAGGGAAAGGGAAGGGAAAGGCGTAGTAGTTTCCTACGTAGGTTTGTTTAGGTTTGGATGGTATTATATAGGGCTATATGTGTCCGGAAATCATTTCCATGTGTCCATTTAGATGGAGGATTTTCAGTTCTTTTGGCGTGGTTGGTTGTCTCGCATAGCGCGTGGAGATATGTATATCTTGGGGTGTAAATTATACCGCTTTTTGAGGGTAATTTTATGTTGAATGTCTACCATTTTCAAACATTTTTCTTACGCGAACGAGTATTTCACCTAGATTCAAACCCTATCTTTATAATAAACATTAAATACAAATATTCTGAAACTGAAACTGACATTGAAACGGATTTTAGCATTGTCAGCCCCCAATTAGCCCAATTTGAATAAATTGTATCGCCTGTTTGCCACGCATAACGCTCAAATATATAAAAATAAAATCCTATATAGTGGTACATATTATAAAGGGTAGATCAAAAGTCAGAATTTATCCATCCGTCCATCAAAATTCTACAATTCTCCCCACCCAAACTTCCTTGTTCCAAGCATAACCGTCGCTGCTGTCCCCATCCCCCAAACCGCCACACTAACCAATGCCTCCGTGCCTACCACAAGGCCCATCTTCGCCAAATACGCAATCATATCCTTTCTCGATCCTCCTCCACACCACGCACAGATACTCCGTACATCACCACTCAGGCCCAGCGTAAGGGCAGTAGAAGCACCGGCAGTAAGCGGCAACGCAGCGAGCAGGGATGGAGACGTCAAAAACTGTATCGCGAAGTTGCGTAGGTACATGGATTCAAGAGGGTAGAAGAGGACGGAGGTTAGGAGGGATGCGAGGTGGGAGGAAAGGGAGTCGACAGGAAGTGACGAGAGGATTGTTACTCGGTGATCAGGGCCAAGGAGGCGATCAGAGCGGGAGCGGCGTGGGAGCTGGGTGGGAAGGGGCTGGGAGAGCCTTCTGTTTTCGTCATTTATGGTAGTGGTTGTGGCAGGTTCTGCTAGGGTTGGGGCGGAGGAGGATTCCGGAACGTCTATGAGTGGTTGGAGGAGGGTAGGGGATTCATGGGTAGCGGTGGTTGTAGTAGGACGCGCGGATAGCGCTTGTTCGTTGTTTTCCAAGTTCGTGTGGTTGGATATGTCGGTCAATTCTTCTAAAGCGGCTACGTGGCCTGGTTGTAGGGTCGCGTTTTGATCAGATGGTTGATTAGCGAGGTGGAGGGCGTCTGCTTGGGCTGCGCCATGGCCTAATAAAACCTCATCAAGTATTCTGGCTGTCGCACGCTCGGCTTCGCTCAAGGTGATTCCTGCTTGTAGGTCAGGGCCAGCTAAAGAATCGTTGTCATAATTTGTTCGAGTGTGAGACGGGGAGTTATGATTACTCCGTAAAAGTTCGAGTTGCATAGTTATTACGTCAGAATTCTGGTGCACCAGCGATGCCCTTACACGGGGTGATGCAAGGGGGGATGATTCGGGAGTTGAGGGATGGGAGAACAGAGTATTGGAGCGTGAATGGAAATGATGACGATGCGATTCTTCAGGCCCTTGGCTTTGGGACCGGTGGGGAGATGTAGAATGATCCATCCTGAATGTTTCTTCCATTCCCGGCCTACCTTGAGATGGGTCGTCCTGGTCAAAGTAGGCGTCTGTGAGCTGGAGGGGGGACTGTGACATACGTTGCTCATCGCCGGATAAGATCTGGTTTGTGCCAAACTCTTCCTGCGGCGTAGCATCTGGAGTCGGGGATCTTGGCCGAGCTCCTTCGACATGGCCACTTAAGAGCTGTTCACCCCGTGCTTGTATTGAACTCACTAAGGTTTCGTCGGGTTGAGATGTTTCCTCACGAAAGGGGGCCATGCTCGTATCGAAATCACGGCTAAGCTGCTCGAGCCTACTCTGGAGTGAGTGAGATGTCGAGCGTGGTCTAGCTCTCGCATCAGACGACTCTTCAATTTTCAAACCAAAAATACCCAAAATCCAATTTTTGAAGATGCGTAATTCGTATTTGAGTTCCTCGCTAATGGTAAGATCGCCACGATGGTATTCCTCATCGGACCGCCTTCCAAGCGATGGCACCGTCCACTCAATCAGGTCATTTTCCGCCGCAACGCGGAGCGAGAGGCTATCAGGGCGGTCTGGTTTGGGTAGTTTCCGTCGTAGGATACGATAAATTCTGGACTCTATTACAGGCCGAAGGTAAACATACATATACAACACTGTAAATGGAGCAGTGAGAAGTCCAAAACTAAAGTTTCCGATATCAGCTACAGACAATCTTGCTGGTAAGGGTGGAAGTTGGATTAACGAGGCGGGACCGAAGGGAAGAAGTGAGCGAAGCGTTGGGACCGCAAGTGCGGGCAGAATATGAAGTGATTGTAACAGCGAAAACATATAAGTTTGTCCGAGTACGACAAAAAGTCCCAATTTGCAGCTATGGATTCTTAGTAAATCAGATATAACTTCATCTATAAGAAGTAGGTAGATACCTTAATTGAAGGCCCTTAAAAGTATGCCAGATCGCAGATTTATAGACATCGTTATCAAACAATGAGGAAACCTTTCCATGAATGTAGTCTAAAGCGGGTTCGAGAAAGTGATTTCGACAAACTGAGACGATAAACGACACCGTCCAGGCAGGAATGCCAGCGGCGTAGAATCCAAAAAGTCCGACTTTGTGGCGTTCTAGGCGAATGATTTGTAGAAATGGAACATGGGTATATCGTTTAAATGTCTAGATTTTCGCTATTAGTCTTAAAGTATCTAAATCTCCAACGCAAAAGCGGTATGAATAATACCTGAATGCGCGCAGCCAGTGATGTTGTCCACCACGATGAGAAAAACATCACAACCTGATCTACTGTCGCCATGGCAAGACCATAATCATTTTCCGATGATAGGAGATTCATCCGTTGCCGTTCTTTTGATATTCCTAGGCTGCCATCCTCGCCGCTCACCACGATTCCCATGGTAGACAGGATGTCATTTTTCGCCCTTCGAAGCTGTCTAGCTAGGGCTTTTGAGTCCGGATTGATAGGGTGGCCTCTCGCATCATATTCCTGAACATAACCATCCGCGTTGATGCTATCTTCAGCACGAGGTTCTGCAGCAACGTAGCCCTGGGGAGGCGTCTCTGGTGCCTCATAAGGTGATCTCCCCTATTTTGAATATTAGTAAAATAGAATAAACTCAATTATAATAGTCATGAAATGAAAATTACGGATTATCAAGAAGAAACAAATTAAATGTAATGAGCTGATTTGTCAAACATGCACGTAAAATGTGAATTTATGGGGAGCACAAGAATTGCAAATGCTGCACAGTAAATGAGCACGGTATTGACAGAACAAGTTATAAGAGCAGGCCTCGTAAAACATCAAGCGGCGCCAGAGCGACATACCAGCGCAAGCAAGTTCATATAGGGTTGCCTCCCCATGATAAGCAGCTGGCCGTGAAGGCGAAAGAGCGGCGTTTTATGAGCACCGCATAAAGAAAATCCTTAGTCACCGGGCGAGTTATAAATATAGCCTAGATGTCTAAGCATAGATGTGAACTGCCAGAGCTTAAGACTGCTGGCTTTGTGTGTCGTAAAATGTGTAAATGTTGCGATATTGGGTTGTCAACGTTGTGCGGCTCCGCGATCTTTCGAGACGCGGCTATGGCGGCTAAATACACGGGCCTGCGAACTTAGTTTTGGCGCGATAGCTTTTTTTTTTTTTTTTTTTTTTTTTTTTTTTTTTTTTTTTTGAGCAGGCGAAACATGAACAAAGTCCGGGGATCGGCCATTTCGCGTATCGGAACATACCATCCTCAGACTATAACGTCGTAGTGATAGTCTGCCTTTCCTTTACCTTAGCAATGTTGATCTAAAATTTTCTTTCATTAACCAGCCCCTCACGATGTCGAAAATCAATATTAAAACGACCTTTGAGGTAGCGAACACAATCCGCCCCATTTATACGGGCGGGAGTGTTTCGCTCGACGCAAGCGGCCGGTTTTTGGTAGCGTGTGTTGGCGAAGATGTTCTGATTACAGATCTAAGCACTGGCGCACAATTGGCGACGATTGAGGGAGTAAGTTGGTCGCAGATATTCTAACCTAGTCCATCACTGACGAATGCGAATTGCTACAATAGGATGGAGAGGTGATTACGAGTGTATCAAGTATGCTCTCCTGGTTAAATCCTTGCTTTAAATTCATTGCTAAATTTGTATCTAGTAACCCCGTCAGCATCACACCTAGCAATTTGCTCGCGATCGTTGTCAATGCGGATTTACTCCCTAGTACAATTGGCGGAACCCTCCCTTTCTATACAGGTGGAGCTACTCAGAACCCTCAAACCCCATACCTCGCCCGTAGTAACTTCAGCCATCGATGTGACTGGCACCTTGTTGGCCACCGGTAGTTCGGACGGGTCAATTAAAATATGGGATATACGACGTGGATTTGCTACACACACTTTCCATGGTCATGGAGGGGTGATATCTGCCCTATGTTTCTTCGAGGCAGCAGGCTCCAATGCTGCCGATGAACTCTCTAGTAACAGGAAAAGTAAAGGATCGAAGTCCACATACGATAGCAATAACTCCAGACATGGAGATTTTGGCCCCTCTACCGCGGGATTCCGCCTTGCGTCTGGTAGCGAAGATGGGAAAATCCGAGTATGGGATCTTCACAAAAGAAAAACCATTGCGTCACTCGAGTCACACGTTTCTGTTGTGCGCAGCCTCTCGTTTTCGCCTTCCGAGAATGCGCTTTTGTCTGCCAGTCGCGATAAGACATTGATTATGTGGGATGCTAGAACCTGGAAGACCCGAAGAATCATTCCAGCGCTTGAAAGTGTTGAGGCAGCAGGCTTTCTGTCCGATGAATCGCTCTGCTACATTGGTGGAGAAAATGGCCGACTGCGGATATGGGACCCAAGCAGAGGGAGCGAAGTCACAAAAGACCAGGATCCGGGCCAAGATCAGGAAGGCATAATCGCGTGCGAATACTCTCCAAATTTGCCCTGGGTCATGACGATTCATGCGGATCAGACCTTGAGACTACATTCTATTGAACCCCTTCTGTCTCTAAAGCCCAGTACGAAGATCGACCCCCTACCTATAATACGCAGAATTTCTGGAAACGACGATGAGGTTATTGACTTGGCTTGTGTTGGCCGCGATCGATCATTGGTGGCCTTGGCTACCAATACCGAGTATATTAGAATCGTATCCACAAACAAGCAATATTCTACAGGCTCGCAGCCTGGAGAAGAGCAAGATTATTTTGGAGCGGAAGTCAGGCACTTAGAAGGGCACGAAGATATTATTATATGTCTGGATGTCGACTGGTCAGGTTGCTGGCTGGCGACGGGTGCCAAAGATAATACGGCACGGTTATGGCGTATCGATACCGAATCATCCTCCTTTACCTGCTTTGCTACCCTTACCGGCCACGCAGAATCACTAGGTGCTATTGCATTTCCCCGGGCTCCACCTCCACCGAACTCTCTCGCTTTCCAAGATCCACTGAGCCATCCTCCTCCCTTTCTTTTCACTGGATCTCAAGACCGCACCCTCAAACGATGGGATACGTCTAAACTATCCGCGTCCAAAAGTCTTAACACCAACGCGCCGAAGGCGCTGTATACCCGGAAAGCGCACGATAAAGATATCAATGCGCTTGATGTCAACTACTCCTCCACTCTCTTCGCTTCTGCTTCCCAAGATCGCACCGCGAAAATATGGTCTGTAGAAGATGGCTCCGTTCTAGGAATCCTCCGTGGCCACAAGCGAGGGGTCTGGTCTATCCGGTTCGCCCCTAAAGATACCCCAGTCATAACATCAGATTCAGGCACTAGTACTAGTAGAGGTGTCGTGGCAACTGGTTCAGCAGACAAGACCATAAAACTCTGGAGCCTGTCAGATTACAGCTGCCTCCTTACTTTCGAAGGACATACGAACAGTGTTCTCAAACTGCTCTGGCTACCCCCACCACTAATTGATAGTGACAATGAAGACATATCCTCGCGCGGCGCGGTTCAGGTCCATCCTCTTGTCGCCTCAGCCGGTGCGGATGGCCTAGTCAAGATTTGGTCCCCATACAGCGGAGAAATAGAGACCACCCTTGATAACCACGTTGACCGTGTCTGGGCACTGGCAACGCCCTCCACAGCCTCGACCGACAAACCCACCGCTGATAGTCACGGCTTCGCTCTAATATCCGGCGGAGCAGACTCAGTCGTCACCTTCTGGAAAGACACCACTTCCGCCACGCTCTCTGCTGCAGTAAACGCAAATACCGAGCGGATTGAGCAGGACCAACAGCTGCAGAACTACATACATGCCGGTGCGTACCGCGAAGCCATTACTCTGGCGCTACAGCTAAACCATCCCGCCCGTCTCCTATCCCTCTTCACTGCCGCTATGGATGGATCACGGATCGCAGATAGCGAAACGGAAAAGGAGAGTCTTACCGGAAATCCAGACATCGACACCGTTCTTCAATCCCTCGACAAAGATAATCTGTACTCGCTCCTCTTGCGTGTTCGAGACTGGAATACCAATGCTAGAACTGCTCCCGTGGCACAGCGCATTCTATACGCACTATCCAAGTCGTACCCACCGTCGACATTTATCGAATTAGCCAACTACCGCCACACGGCGCCACAAGGTGGTCGGAATAAATATAGGCCGCAATCTATGAAAGAGATTCTGGATACGCTGGTAGCATATACGGAACGGCATTATAAGAGGATTGAGGAGCTTGTGGATGAAAGTTATCTCGTGGAATGGGTTCTTGGGGAGATGAATGGGGGAATTGGCGGCGGAAGGTTCCTGAATGGAGGGGGAGAGATGGGACAAGGCCAAGATGTTATTATGGCCGGGGTGTGAGTTGGGCTGCCTTTTGGATGTATTATTATATATAGAAGGCTGGCTTTTTAAATGTTCGCGGGCATTACTGAAAATTAGACGGGCAACGGGATGTCCATTGATGCAAGGAGTTAAAAAGGGGAATTATAAACGAATTTTAGCCTATATAATATAGGAACGCAAGAGTTTCGTATGTACCGTTATTGTTGCATGGACATTTTCTATATTACATCCAAAATAAGCTAAACCGAAACTTTTAAGGGGGTATCTATGTATGCATTTTAATACACTTCCTCACGGCGCGACCGACTCTTCCTGCTGTCATCTCTATCTCTATCATAGCGGTCCCTTTTGTCACTTGTCGAGGGCCTATCCCTGTCCCGACGCGAGTCTCTGGCTGCAGAGCGATCAGGTCCAGATGCTGAAGATGAAGGCCGGGATCTGTAGTCACCGCCATAATCATAATCGTCATCGTATGATTTCCTGCTACCTCTGTATTTCCGATCCCGATCGCTATGGTCACTTCTGCGGTCCCCGTGGTACCGATCATCCAGCCCACTGTCAATTGCATCCGCTTCACGATCTTTATATCGTTTCCTCCTATCTCTGGCTCCGTCTTTATCTCCGGATGTTCCACTCCCGTTTCGACGTTTATACCCATCGTCGCTTTCGCTACTGAAATCATCATCCCTTTCAGAACGACGATCTCGATCCGGACCTCTATCTCTCCCATGCAACTGCAAATTCCTGTCCCTCCTTTCACGCCAGCTATCCTCCGCGCCCTTCTTGGTCCCTTCAGATCTGCTGTGCTTAACCAGTCGATTAAACTCCTCCTGCGTTATCATCTCCCCCGTCTTCTTGTTCCTCATGAGGACAGGGGTATAAAGACCTTCACCAGGCTTCTTAGCCTTCATCATGGCTGATTTCCCCCAAGCGCCCAACTCAACTTCAGAACCACTGCCGCTCTTATCATTCCCCGGAAGTTCTTTGGCTCCGATGCCTAGGTACCCAGGTCTCCTCTCTGTTATGCGAGGCTTCGTAGCCCTCGCATTCGTATTTCCATATTTGCCCCTGCCAATAGGCTCTCCGTCTTTCCATCCCATACCTCGTAGCAAAGCGGCCCCAAACTCCTCGACAGGAATGGCACTATAGGCCGCCAAACTAGCCGGTTCGGGCCGCGACGCAACATCAGCACGGAATGATTTCGTCTCATCGAACCGCTCCTCTTCCCCACCATAGCCTTCATATTCATCCCCATCCCGCACTTTCCTCTTCCCCGAGATAACAAGGTCTGATCGCCTCGTTGGCTCTCCGCCGTCCCCTTTGCTCTCACGTATAAGAGCCTGCATCGCAATCTCATCCTGCGTTAAGGGCTTTTGCGGTACCTCCTCCTCCCCGTCCGGCTGTTTGTCCTCCATTTCCATTTCCTTTTCTACAGTACCAGCGTCCGCCATCCTCACATCGCCATCTCCCCCCGCTCCCTCCGATTTCTCTGCAAGGCTCAGCCCAAATTTCATACTCGGGCCCTCAACCTCTCTCGTCGCATCAGCAGAAGCAATACCGCTCGCCTCCGCCTCTCTCTGCGCCCTAACCTCCGCTGGCAACAAATTCAACCCTTTCCTCTTCCGCTGCCACGGCCTCTCCTGCCAATTATTCTTGCTCTCAACTTTAATAACAAGGGGTTTCTTCTCCTGCTCTGCGCGTCTATGGGCACTTATGGCGCCACCAGCTTCACGGTCGAAGCCCGTCACTTCTTCCACGACGGGTCCTTCGTTACTACTGTCATCGTTATCGGAGTCATGGGCTTGGAATGTGCGGGGGCGGCGGGGGAGGGATTCAGCTGTGGGTTTGGAGGAGGGGCCATTTGTGGATTTGGTAGGACATGTCGAAGATGGTGGGGATAGCTTCTTATTTTGCGAAGTGGAGGAGAGCGATATGGAGAAGGGTTTGGGTTTCGGGTTGGGGTTGGAGTCCCCAGAAGACATGGCTGCGATAGGAGTGGAATATGGCAGCCTCGTCTGGAAAAGAGATGAGGGAAAAAAAAAAAAAAGAAAACTAAGGAAATACTGAGTTAGGCTGTTTGGTATGTCATAGGAGTTTCGTGGGAGTTTGAATTGGCGCTGTGATGGGTGCGCAGTAGTTTTGTTAATGCCGCTGGAGTGGAGCAATGGTGGCGTCAAATAGACGCGGCAAGCGCGAGACAAGCTAGGCTTTTTTCAGACAAAATATCGATTATTTCCAGGCCTCCAGTAATTAAAAAATTTTGCGTGAACCCCCTTTCTCCGCATTTAGATTATTCTATTTCAGCCTCCGGCTCTTAACATACTACACCATGAGCAATGCTTTTTGGGATGCGGGGAAACTTGCAAAAAATTATGTAGCAGAAACATCAGAACCAAGCAAAAATGCATCACGTAGCAAAAGACGAGGTTTTTATTTCAGGTCCACGTCACATCAATCCTGTCAATCATCGCATTACTACTCTCGCTTCCCCTACCTCTCTCATGCCTTAATCATTTCATTTACCCCGCCAACCTCCACCCCTCTCCCCTCCATCAACCACCCCTCCATACCCCTAAGCGATGCAATGAATCCAAACCATTAGAAAAGAGAACATGTTATGGGTAGAACACAACCTGCCTCACCTCACATGCCTTCACAATGAAGGGGAAAAAAGGAACCATAGAAATGGGCCTTCTATCAATACAAATACAAGACTGTCATAAGAGCCAACGCACAAAATAACAAACAATAAAAAATGAGAAGAGAAGAGAAGAGAAGAGCAGGAGTAGGAGTAGAAGTAGGATGAAAAGATGACTTAAAACTAAGACAAATAGTATAGTAAAACAAAATGAAAATCAAAACGCGTAGACAAAGCCCACCACCCAGTAATAAGATATCATACCTAACCTAGCCCTTTGAGAAAAACTAAAAAGAAGAAAAAGAAACAATTCCGGCTCGCCTGCTTCCCTTTCAACGGCGCATAATTATAAAAAGTAAATCGAGATAAAAGGGAAAAGAGTTGAAAAGAAGAATATCAACGAGGCAAGGGTGGTTGTGGAGGGATTTTTTTAGTTGGCGGGGATAGCAGGGGGCGTAGCGCGGGGAAACAAAGGTACCCTCGTTAATTATATGTACAAGAATGTGGGAGAAAGATCTATGTGACTGGGGGTGAGGGTTAGAGTGGAGAAAACGAGATATATGAGGTAGGTAGGTAGATATGAAGGTATGTATGAAAACCCCGGCCATCACGACCCAACGATTCTGGGAAGGGAGATAATGCTTCTTTTCTAAAGAACATCAATAATTCATTCAGCTCGATGCCATCTGCGCCTGAGGCGGGCGAGGGCTCTTCCCCGGACCAGGACCGACACCAGAACCTTGTCCAGAACCCGAAACCCCACCGGGACTAGGTCCCGGACCCGGAACCGGGCCAGGCCCATGCCCACCCTGGCCACCTGTACTCCGATGAGCCTGTGCGGTCGCACTTCGACCCTGCTGCACAGCCATGGCCGCATTCATCGCCGGAGATCCATTTACACCCATCCGGTTCGGCTGCTGCACAGTTTGCGTTACGCGCATCAAGGGCGAGTATCCCTGTGTCTGCTGGAGTGTCTGCATCGAAGCTGGCACGCCGCCGTTCGGCACGTTCGCGTGCGAGAGTTGGTGCATGTTGCCATCATGGTGCATTTGGTAGCTAGTTTGCATGGAGCCCATGGTGTTGCCGGCGGCTGCGTTCATGGCTGCTTGGGACATGCGCTGTTGTTGGATGTGTTGGAGACGTTCGGTGGCTAGTTTGGTGATTTGCTCCTGTGACATGTTTGGGTTGGTTCGCCGGATGGTATTTTGGATGCTGACAAGAGTCGGGAGCCCGGCAGCTGCGTTTGCGAGAACGTTGGCATGGTTGAGTCGGGGAGAGGCGGTAGAGACACCCTGGGCAAGAGAGGAGGCGTGGAAAGAAGGGCTGTTGACGCCGCTCACGGCTTGGAATGTTAGCATTGCGGGATTATTGGGATTCACGTTCATATTTCCCATGCTCATGTTCGGGGACGAATGTGGCCCTTGAGGAATGAATGACTGTTGTTGGTTTTGAAGCTGCTGCTGACGTGACTGTACCATACGTTGCTGCTCCTCTTGCACGCGACTGGCTTCACGGATGATACGTGCATTGTCCGAAGACGCTTGGGTTTGTATACCTGGGCGTCCATTCATCGCCTGCGGGATACCAGGTTGGGGAATCATCTTTAGTCCCATTCCAGGATTTGGCATTCCATTGACCTGAGCACCAGTTGGCAGCTGCATGCCGGGATGGGGTCGGGATTGAGCCAGAGCCGCACTGACTGGTAGACCGTTAGGAAGACCAGACGGGGCTGGTATGCCCTGCATAACACCATTCGGAGGCGCACTAGCAGTATTACGTGGAGGTATACCATTAAGCAAAGCTTGCTGGTTCGGCATTTGCCGGTGTTGCTGCTGTTGTTGTAGCTGTTGCTGTTGTTGCTGATGTTGTGCCTGCTGTTGTTGTGCAACACGGTGCGCCATTGCCATCTAAGACACAAGTCGGTTAGGAAAAGGAGGAAATGGACTAACGACTGTGTGATAGGACTTACTCGCTGTGCTATCATTGCCTGCTTGTATTGCTCCTGGTTCTCTTGGATCTTCAGCTCCCGCTCATGCTTTAAGCGACTGAACTCTGCCGGCGTCGATATTGGAGGTCGTGGTTGATTGACTTCGTTAAGCTTTCGCGATGCTGCCAAATGGGTAGCTATTGAGGAAGAAGAGGGCAGCTAGAGTTAGCACAAGCACACAAAGTTTCGAATTATCTGTCTCGCCATAATGCGAGCATGGTTTTTGGAATAAAAGGAAGTGCATACCATGCTGCTGCTTCTGAAGCAATGTTTCCCGTTTCTTGGATAATTTCCTCATGCAATCAAGGAGTGTCAAGTGTCTTACGGACCGTTTCCGTTCTACTCTCATTGGCGTTGTAGGCCGTCTCCGAAGAATTGCTGTTGGTGTTGGCGGTGGATTGCTACCCTGTCGCTGGGGGTTCGCCTGCGCCTGAGCCTGAACTTGCGCTTGTGCCTGCTGTTGCTGCTGCTGCTGAGCTGCAAGGACAGCCCGCTGAGCCGACTCCACTCTAGAAGTGTACGCTCTAAAGTAGGGGGTCTTCAGCATCTCTGTGGGAAGCCCTTCTAACTGAACCCACTTTTCAAAACACTCCCACGGGGTCCGCCTATCCGCGCCCGACGTATATAGCGAGGGGGGAGTCAGGCAGGCCGATATGAGGGACCAATTAAACGAGTACTCTTTGACGATCCTCTTAAGCTCGTCCTCTTCGGCGCATGTCCACTGTGAAGGTTGTCGCGACTCATAAAAACCTAGGGAGGGCATCAGGAACTCGGTAGGAGGTCGGAAAACCTGCCCAGGATGGATACGATCACGTATATGCTTATTTTGCGGCTGGAAGAGGGCAACATTAGTTTGCTCAGGGGGTATTTCAATGGCATCAACGTCAACATCATCATCATTATCAGAGTAATCATATCGGCTTCGTTTGCGAGGTGGCTGCTTGCTGGTGAATTCAAGTTTGCCCGTGGCATATTTGGAAACGGCTAACAACTCTTTTCGCCAGGACGAGTCCGGTGGGCGTTTAAACTGCGGTAAATTGGTTTCCGAGGAAATGTTGATAGGAATATAAAGCGGGAGCTCTTCTAGGATCTTTTCGAAAGCAGGGGTCCTTTCCATCCCAAATGTAAATTCATCGGAACCGAGAGAAAATATTGCCGCCGGAACAACACCATCAGACAGATCTGGATGGACTTCATCGTTGAAACCTTCGCTGACAGAATCATCTTCCATAGACGAAATTAGGTCAGGTGTCGGTTGCGAATGGGGTAGAGAGTCATCGACTCGGTCGTCACTATATGATGGGGTAGTCTTGTTGTTGCCACTTTCCTCTATCTTACTAGTCGCTGGTGGCACTCGAGCTGGTATACGCAGCTCCGCTCTCCGTCCATCACTACTACTAACGTATTCGGCGCACCAATCTGCACATCTCTTCGCAGCCGCGATTTTCCATTTCCGTTCTTCTCTAAAATCTGTACGCATCCATTTCATATGATCCAGTAGAACATCCCAGTGAGTTCCTGAGCGCTCGGGTTCTGCAGATCGTTGTAGTTGACGAAGGGGCCATCGATTGGCATGTTGTAGTTGGTATATTCGTTTTAGTGACCGACAGTCCATCTGCTCTTGGTACTCAACGAAGTGGTTTGCGGTTGTAAGGGTTTTGTGGGCGGTAGAGAGGAGAGAGCTAAGGTGCATACTGCGAGGAGGATAGTGGGCTTTTGCCTGGAAAAGCGTGAAGAGATAATCCTTTTCTTCATTCAGAGACCTGGTATGTCCTGAAGGAGTCCGAACCAAGTCTGCCGACTCGTTCTTCTCAGCTGCAGACTGTTGCTTGGGGAAAACTACTGTCGAGAGCTTGCTTCGCTCTTTTTGGTTTTCTCTTTTGTTCTTTGGGCGAGAACGAACCTGAGAGTTTTCAGACGTGGGGGTTGGTGATTCTGATACAGCCTTATCAAAAGTCTTATCCATAGCGGATTTTGGAGTTTCCCCTAGGATTTCAGAGACAGACCTATGGCGAATGGCCCCTGATGAAACTCTGGTAGTCATACGCTCCGGCTGGAAGTGAGGCTGCGTAGGCGCGCTTGAGGTCGAGGTCTTTCGGGTTGCACTGGGGAGCGGTGAGCCACCTGCGCCTTCTGGCAGCCCAAGAGTTACTGGTGCTGATTGGGGTTCATGGGATTTTGATACGGGCTCTGGTTTAACTCCCTCTGTATCGAGCCGAAGAGCACCGTTAACTAACGGTCGATTTTCGGGAGCAACAGAAGTTTTGGATGACTTGGAAAGATCGGGTTCATTATGACTGTCCGGTGGTTTCTTTGGAGAGGAAAAGGAATTCTCTGGGGTAAGTTGGAAGGATGAAAACGCAGAGCCCGTGTACGGAGCGTTTTTGGTTGGCTTTGAGGCAGCTTGTTGTATGCTTGATTGCTCTGCTTCAAATTTCAGCTGTTCATCCGGCGTTGCTGGCGCTCTACGAATAGTTGATATATCCGCGGTAACCATGGGAACTGGAATACTTCTTCCGCTGTTGGGAGGTGTCGTAGATTCATTTTGTGGCTCTCGCTGCGGCTGCTCCTTCGCTGGACTGGTGGCTGGCGTTCTATCAGATACAGAGGTAGTACTTGATAATTGACCACGGGA